AAATGGCTCGATATATAGCCAATGGGTTGGCCGGATTGAGACACGACACATCGAATTAATCCCCTGGGATGCTGGTACACCACGTAAACGTTCCTACCAGGAGAAGGCCAGCATGATTGTCTAGCCAAGCCCGATGGCGATGGATGCCGATCACGTGGCAGCGGGCGCTTGCTCTATTGTAGAGTACGCCCTGGGAATCTCGGCGGAAACGACACGACCGTCGTCGGCGCCTCCACAACCTATACGCTGCTTATTGTCATCGAGTACACGTGAACGGTTTGCAGCTGTCTCTAGCGACGCCTTGTACAACCGCTCGTCACTTGTTCAAGCTCGAAGCTAGTACCAAGCAGTGCCCCGTGAGGTTCACAGCGTGCGGTCCTAGCATTTCTAGCTCGCGTGCATCAAGATTATTGACCCTTGCGTGCATGAATTGTGACGCGTGCGTGGGTGTTGCTATCGTGGAGAGCGTCCATCTTGAGCGCATCTGCACTTAGCCCAAGAGGATGAGTGCCACATTAATTGGGTCGCTGGCTCTGCTTCCCCGCTCCAAGCCCCAAACGCCTAGACGTTCACCCTCCAACGTTATGATCAGCTTCTTCGCTGTCTCTTTCGTCATCCCGTCCATTGCCACAAAGAAATCTATGAAATCCGAACCAACGAAATCATAGTTTGTTCCAATATGACTTGAAAAATGTATTGACCAGCACCTCTCGAGACGAAGGAAGTGCTTCCCTCTGTGCTCATGGATCACGGATTTGACTGCTGTGGCTTCACATAATACTCAATAGTACGCCTAGGCGGCAGCGCGCTGGTAGCAGGTCGCCAGTGTACGGCGATCTCGTGACGCTCGCCCGCTGCCAACGGGGCTTCAATTATGCGGCGGATCTCGCAGTGGTTGCTTGGATCATTGCCAAGGGCCCTGAAGGGTTGTTCAACAAAGCTCGCGACAAAAGAATCGCAGGCATGAGCTTCCAAAGTGAAATGTCAAATTGCACGTTTGCAAAACGAGTCAAGCCTCGCTTTCCACAAACCGGGTCGATGTCCCAAGGCGAAAAATAAAAAGAAATCTTGGTAGCAAGAGCAGTCTATTTAGATGACTCGTGGCATTCGACTCGACTTGCGAGTACCGTAATTAATGCACATACGGAACAAATGGAATAAGAGTCGTATTGAAAAGAAGAGGTATCGACTAGACTAGACGCGAACGACCGCAGCCGTGTCGAGCGCCTTGACATATCGAAAGTGCGCTTCGACCTTGGTCGCAAGCTTCTTGGCTTGGGACGTCAACGCTGGCACTTGCATCGCCGACGCCAAGAGTGTATCCAAAAGCGCAATCGGCAGCCACGAGACTTGCGCTGACGTCCGAGCACCAAACGAGTCGATCGTCAACGGCTCGGTCGCAGGCACGAGCGCATCCGCCGTCGCTAGCGCATCGTCCAGCGCACCGTACTTGAGCAGAAGCGAGAGCAGCTGCGGGCCGTCAGTCACCACCACACTGTCGCGGAGCCATGTTGGGATCGCAACGCGCAGCTCCAGCGCCGTCTCGATCGCCGCCAGCGACAACGACGCCTTGTGCAAATGATGCAGCGTGGTTTGCAGCACCGACTCTGGAATCGAACCGGCGACCCACGCACGAGTGACCGCTCGGACCACGACCTTCATGTCCAGCTCAAACGCCAGCGCAATGGCCGACGCGAGCTCGATCGACCGCAAGGCCGCACGCGGCGGCGACGCAAGGTGCGTCAGCAGCAGCGAGACCACCTCGGGCGACCGCAGCGACCCGAGTGCCAGGCTGTGCTCGGGCAGCGCGAGCTTGCCACGGACCAAGAGCAGCTGCTTGTAGACATCCGAGGCCGAGACCACGGTCAGCGCGCAGTCGCCAGCGTCCGAGGCGAGACCGGCCTGCGACACAAACCACCGATGCGCTTCGGGAACCAGCTCCAAGACGTTGGAGGCGGCGAGGAGTGCGTCCCGCTGGACTTGGAGGATCGACGATGCAAACGGCTCGAGCTCGAGGCGGAGGAAGAGCGAGTACATGGCGCGGGCTGCGTGCACAAATCGGCTCCGAGCGACGTAAAAGCTGTAGAGGAGGCGGTACAAGGCCGACGCGCTCTGCGACGACTTGGCCGGCGACACGTGCGCGTGGGTATTAGCCGCTTGCCACAATAAGAGTTCTTCGACTTGAGCTTCAAACGCACCCCAGCTCACGTCGCAGACCACGTCGACGCGGCCAGCGTCACAGAGCTGCAAGACAAAGTACCGGACGCACTCGTCCAGCGACGGCGCACTCGCACCGAGCGCCACGAGCTTCTGCAGCGCGGCGTGGGCACTCTCGTACGCCCCGTCGGCCACGTAGAGCTTGAAGAGGTTGTACCAGACAAACTCGAGCGTCGTGTCGTCCTCGGCGACATCGACGAGAATCGCTTGCAGAAATGACACCACATGACTGCTCAGACCCTTGGGTACGTGCTCCTTGAGCAACGTTGTGAGCTCTACGACCACCGCCGCGCCTTCGAGATGCACGACACGGACGAGCGATCGGACGGCGCGGTCCAGAACCGTCTCTGTCTTGGTTGGCTCGAGCAGCAAGCATTCGCCGAGGAGGTACAGACGCTTGGCATCGTCGTCGGCGTCATTTGCGTGACGCAGCACGACGCGGAGGACGCTGTGGAGACCGTTGCTCTGCAGAAACGGCAGCAGCTTGGTGGCATCGGCGATCGCGGCGATCAACGACCGCGTCGACGCGCCGAGGTCACCGTCGACAACAATCTCATCGAGAAGCGACGCCGCAAAGAGCTGCAATACCGGCACGCCCGACGTCGCCTGCGTCTGGCTGCACAGCCAGTACACGTTGGACCAATTGGCGAGCGACCGCTCGAGCGCCGGCCGCACCGAGGCCTCCAGATGACGCAGCGTCGTTTCGGCCAGAAATGACGGCGTCGCGTCAAGGAGAAAGGTCACAAAACACGCGCTCGCAGCGGCGGCGGCGCGCATGTCGTGAAGGACGACGGCGCTCATACGGTGAAGCGCGAGCGCGAGGTCGGTCGCAGCCACGTCCTGGGAGCTCATGCTCGCATCGTCTGAGAGACGCGGCAGCGCAAGATGCGCCACAAGGGCATCGAGAAGCGCCATTTGCGTGGCTGCGTCACCCGAGAGGACGTTGGCGGTCCGTGCGAGGACGCTTGGCACATGGCGGCCGGCGCTGCCGTCCTCGAGAAGCCCGGCGTGGACAACGCCCAGCAGCGTCACGGACGTCGTGACGTCCAATGCGAGCACGTCCGACTGCCACTGACGTTCGAGCGACGCATAGTAGGACGCGATCGGGAATGCACCAAACGTCGGTAAAACGATCGAGTCGTAGAGGTCGGCGATCGTCGCCGGGCGGTCGCCGAGGATCGAAGCGGGGAAGAACACCGACATGTGGTTGCGGCGCAAGAGCACCGGCGACCCGAGCAAGTCGCACGACACAAAGCCCAGGGGCACGTTCTCCGCCGCCCAGTGCTACCATCGTCGTCATCCATATGTTGTCGGAATATGGACAAGTTGTACCTTGGTCGCGACGGCGAGGACGTGGCGCCACACGGTCGATCGAAGCGCATATGGGTTGGAGCCCTTGGTGTCCTGCAACGACCACTGCCGGTGGACAGCATCGAGAAGCGCACGGCGAAGCCGGTGGCCGTCGAGCGTCGGTGCCGGGCCCGTGACGAGCGTCGACAAGGTCAAGCGGAGGCACTCGTCGTTGAAGCGCCCCGGGGCGCCAAGCCGCTGCATGTAGAACGCCTAAATGCCAGCACGCGGTTAGTTGCATGGAATATGTACAAAATAGAATGTACGTCGATCTGCGACAGGTCGGCAATGTCCTTGGCCAACGCGTCGTCGTCGGCGGCGTGCTTGGTCGTCCACGCGTGCATGCCACGCAGGACGGTGCCCGCGACCTCCTTGGGGCCCGTGAGCGAGAGCGGGTGCTGGACGACGTAGTCGGTCGACGGCGCGCGCCAGACCGAGAAGAGCCGCGCATCGTCGACACTGAAGTCGACGAGGCGGACGTGGACTGACAGCTGCTCAAGCACAAAGCGGCGTGCGACGTGGAGGTCGATCGACGCCGGCGAGAGCTCGCCACGGAGGAGCACAATGTCATGCGGTGTCGTCGTAGTCGTCGTCGTCACATGCAGCAGCACTCGTTGGTCGACGATAGCCATTGAGGCGGCGACCGCCGGCGCTGCATCGGCGGGGAGCCCGAGCACCGACCCAATGGCTTGGTTGCAGAGGCAGCTGAGCTGTTCGTACGACCAGACGCGCAGCACATAGTCGGCCGAGAGTGAGAGGACGAGCGTGTCGGTGCTGTCATGGTCGTGGTTCGTGTCGGGCACGGGGACGATGGCCAAGACGGCGTGGGCGCGGGCGCCGCCGAGGCCGAGGCCGCCCCAGAGCCACTGCAAGCCGACGTGGTCCGTGAGCGCGACTTCATGGAACGACGCGTGCGAGTGGCCAAAGATCGAGAGACCGACGTTGATGGCAATCATGGCGCCGTCGTCACCGCCGACGACCACGTTGCACTCGTCGAGCCAGCACACGGCGCTAATCGACGTCTGGAGCGGCAGCGAGCTCATCGCGAACGCGACCTCGTCGCGGCCTTCGGTCGAGAAGAGCGTCGGCTCGATCTTGTAGCAGTAGCGGTGGATCGTCTTGGCGCACGTGACGACGCAGATTGAGACGAACTGCTTGTCGAGCGACTCGAAGACGCGGACGCCCTGCGGCGCAACGCTCTCTACATGTCTGACGTCAGCGCCAACATACAGGCCGGACGACGCTGCAACGTACCCGGCAGCTCGATGGCGAGCGACGCCTTGCCGGACGCCGGCTTGTCGGCGCTGCTCTCATGGACCGGCGTCTCCCAAAGAAGCACGTGCTTGCCAATGGCGCGGTAGCTCACGAAGCGGTCGTGCTGCAGGACAAAGCCGCCGCCGAGGCTCTCGACCCCTGGCAGAGACAGGGTTAGCCACCGTCGCCGCAGACAAAACAGGTACGTACGGCTCGGGGGCGCATGCGCAGGGACCGTCTTCAGCTTGGAGCGCACGCGGAAGGCCGCGTCGGTCTCCTTCTCGACGTAGGCGAGCGGGACCTCGTGCATCGCGGCTGCGCTTCCTCCCATCGCGTTTCCAATAAAATATTTCCGCGCGCCTCATTGGTCAAAAAGCAGTGGCCGCGCGGTATCCGGCATTCCGGATACCATTCTCTTTTTCACGGCACGTGAGAAACGTGAAAAAGATCGTGTGTTGGGGTGCGCGAGCCGCGGTATCCGGATATCTGGCAAACCGGACGCGTTCGTTTTTCACGTGGCGTGCGAAATCGTGCGAAATGCGAGAAAAGTGGGATTTAAACAGCGCGCCATCCGCAGCAACCGAGCAGTAGCTGGAGTCATTAGGAGCAAGGGTATATAAGAGCATCTCTTATCTATCCTTGGTAGGAGTAGTCGTACAAGTATGTAGGACTAGGGCATCAATTTTATGCTGTAGCATTAGTCTCTTGATTCATGACGACACACTGCGTTCTACAAGTGCCACGAACCATGTCTTGGCGCGTCTCGGTCACGTTGGGCATCAAAGCATCGGGTGCCAGCGTCGGCTCAGCGCTGGAATCGACGGTCGCGACAGCCGCTCATTGGGCGGTACGTCGTGCGTCTCGCAGTACGCTGCATAGGCGTTCAGCAGCGACTCGATGCGATCGTACGACCCTTCCTGCGCCAAAAGCGCGTCGTGGTACAGCCGTCGGCGGGGCGGCAGCGCCGTTTCCAAGCGCGCAGCGGGCGGTTCGTGTCGGCAAAACCGCTCGAGTCGCCCGCGCTTGGTCGCCGCGCACGCGCGACAGAACCGGAACGCGCCCTTTGGACATGCTGCACAGCTGATGAGGACGCCGCGGATCGGCTTGCTGCACAAAACGCAGTTGGTTGGCCACCACTCGGGCGCCATGTCGCTGCAGATGGCCTTGGTCACGAGCGCGAGAAGGCGGTGGCGGCCCGTGGTGTTCGCGGTTGCCACGCGGCAGATGGCTGCGACCGTGTCCTTACCAGGCAGAATGCGGTGGGCGGTGAGAAAGTGGTCGGTGGCCGCAGCCATATCACCGCTGGTCCATAATGCGAGGCCGAGGTTGAGCTCCGCTACGTACACGCCTCAGCGAGTTGGCGAATTCGAGGACGCGCCTACCGTCACGCTTGTAGTTGACGGTCGCGTTGGTGGCGGGAAGAAGAGCTCGCACCGAGCGCAAAATGGCCGTCGCCCCCGCGACGTCACCGGCCTGGAGCAAGGAGAAGCCTTCGTTGAGTGACGCCGCTAGCGTCAGCTCGTGGTCCGCGCCGAGCGTACGTCGTGTGGTCGCCAGGACGCGCTGGTTGAGCGCAAGGCCTTCGTCAAAGCGACCGAGATCCATGTACGCGGCGCCGGCAATCTGCAGCGTCAAGAGAGTGCGAATGTGGTCGGGCCCGTGGAGTTGCTCCTGCAGCGCCGAGGTCTTGCGGCTCCAGCGCAGCGCTGCGCGGGGATCGTGGAGAAGCGTTACGATGTCTGTGACAAGACTCATGACGACAGCGGTGTAGCTGTTGGCGAGGCCGTATGCGTGTCGGTGGGCGTCAAAGAGATCGAGCGCAATGTCTTTGGCGTCGTGGAGCAGGTCGTTCCGAGAGAGGGCAGCGGCAAAGCTGTACTTGGTGGCAAAGACCTCGCGGTCAGAAGGCCCCAGCAACTCGGTTTGCACTGCGAGCGCCGACTCGAAGAGCGGTCGCCACGTACGTGCGGGCTTGCGCAAGATACCGCGCATCATGCCGACTTGGGCTTGGCCCTTGGCAACTTCGAGGTGGGCGCTTTGGTCGTCGAGCGTCGTGAAGAGCGACAGATCATGTGCATAGCACCGCTCTGCATCCACAAAGTTGCGTTCGTTGAGGTAGATGTGACCAAGAGCTCGCCACCGATGGGCCTGCTGGGCTGTTGATGACAAGGCACGGATGGACGCTTCCAAGGTTGTCTTGATCCAGTTGGACAACGTCGAAAAGATGAGCCGGTCGACCGCGATGAATGACGTCTCGGTGCGAATCAAATCAAAGATACCGTCGCGGTCACTTGGCACCGTAGCTACCGAGTCCTCGCTCTTGATCGTCGCCAGCATCTTGCTGAAGGCACCAAAGC